GCCGAACATTAGAGGCCTCACGACAAGATGCAGCCACTACCCATGTGGAAATGGGAAGATGTCACTATGGATTTTATCACAAAGCTACCTAATACGACACGGGATGTGGATTCCATTTGATTCATTGTGGATAGGTTGACCAAGAGTGCGTATTTTATCACAAAGCTACCTAAGACGGCAATGTTCGTTTCACCTCCAGATTCTGGAGGAAGTTTCATGAGGAGTTGGGTAATCAATTGCATTTTAGCATTACTTACTACCCCCAGATCGACGATCAGAGTGAGCAGACGATTCAGACGCTCGAGGATATGCTTAAGGCATGTGTATTGGATTTCGGAGGGAGTTAGGATACTTACCTTCCACTAGCAGAGTTTTCATAAAACAATAGTTATCATGCTAGTATTGACCGACCCCCATTTGAGGCGTTGTATAGTTAGAGGTGTAAGACTCCAGTTTTTTTAGGGGAGGTTGGGCATCGAGTTATGAGAAGCACCGAAGTGGTGCTTAAGATGACCGACTTGATCCAACAGGATCGCGACCGGCTTCAGACAGCACAGAGTAGACAGAAGAGCTATGCGGATAGACGTAGGTCGGACTTGGAGTTCCAAGTCAGGGACATGGTGCTCCTGAAGGTGTCACCCTGGAAGGGTGTTATCCAATTCAGGAAGCGGGGCAAGTTGGGCCCCAGTTATAGTAGTCCATTTCGGATTATCGCTCGGGTAGGCACAGTTGCGTATCAGTTGGACTTGCCTATGGAGCTTAGGCAGATCCACTATACATTTCACGTTTCGCAGCTGCGGAAGTGTGTGGCTGACGAGTCGATGGTTGTATCGCTAGATGATATTCATAATGATGAGAGCCTGAATTATGTGGAAAAACCTATTGCGATTCTAGATAGAGAAATGAAAGCCCTTCGGAACAAGGAAGTGAAGTTAGTAAAGGTACAATGGCAACACCGAAGAGGCTTCGAATGGACTTGGGAGCCAGAGGATGAGATGAGGAAGCACTATCCGGACCTTTTTGCATCAGCAGACTTCAAGGATGATGCCTAGTTCAAGTGGGGGAGATTTGTAGCATTTGGTACAGGTATAAAACATTTCTCAAAATATTAGAAATCTTTTTTGGAACTCGACGAGTTGGGGAGCTCCAACTCGTCGTGTTAAGATCAATATGTCCGAAGGTTTTCACGACCCAACTCGATGAGTCGGGGTGTCCCAACTCGACGAGTTGGCGGTTGGGATGAAACTCTAATTTAGGGTGTTACACCCTATTTAAAGGACCTAAACCCCCTTGGTTGGCCTCCTTACAAGCCTCCATTTGTCCAGAAAACCCTAAGTTTGTATATCCTTGCAAGCTTGAATGTGTAAGTTGTGGTGAGCTTGGAGAATTGATTTTGTTGATTCTTTAGAAGGAGCTTGGAAGTTGGAAGCATCTAGCTTGGCAGAAGGAGTATAGATCCAGAATCTCATCACCAATAGCAGTCTTCTTGAGGTGTAAAGTTGTCATCTTGCCTTGTATTCATCTAGATCTCTTTGTTTGAAGTTTTAGCATGATTTTTCGATTTTGGTTGGGTTGTCCAAGATGTTGAGGTTTCCAGGGGTTAATAAGTTAGATCTAACCCCTTCATGACTCCTCTTGACTTAAAGTTGCAAACTTTATTGGTTTCTAAGTTCCATTCATGCAACAAGTCCCTCATTAAGTCCTTATTAAGCCCTAGAGTGTGTTTTAGCTTGCATGGATGTAAAGTTAGAAACTTTATGTGATTTTCTAACCTTTGGACACCAAATCTAAGTTTTGGGACTATGTTGTGAAAGTATAAGGGCTTAATGGATTAAGACTCGCTCTAATAAACCTAGAATCCGGGTCTGACTCATTATGGACATTTCTTAAGGGCAAAGTTGGAAACTTTACCCTTCTAGACATCATTTTGGAAGAGATCTGAAGTTTGGAGTCCCTGGTTTTATTAGAATCAGCTTAATGCATTAAGAGGTTGGAATTTTGGCCAACTCGACGAGTCTATTAGTGAACTCAACGAGTTGATGAGATTTTTTCCGATCTGCTCAGATACTGGAGGAACTCGACGAGTTGATGTACAACTCGGTGAGTTGAGTCAACTCAGGTCGTTGACTTTGACTGTTGACCTTAGTTTTTGACCAAGGTGGCCTTTAAGGGGTTTTTAGGGCATTTCGAGTTGTATTTAAGGAATTGTTTCTATTATAGCATTTGTGTAGAGTGGATATTTGGAGTCTCGACCTAGTCAGCTACCGTTCAGTATTGAGATGAGTCTTCTCACCACACTCATAGGTCAAAGGCACCAAGGTCGGCCCATTACTGATTATGAAATGTTTTGTATAGGAATGTGTGGTTGTTTATTAGTGGAATTATATGTGGACTTATGTACAGACCATGAGGGGAGCCCATGGCACTTGGCAAGATTATGTGAGGAGCACATGGCACGAGGATATGAGACAATGGGGGTAGCCCATGGCATTCCATTGAAGACCAAGGAATGAGTCTATGAAAAACTTGTATGTATATCTATGAGCATGGCATTATGAGATTATATCATTTGTGTGATTGGGAAACTCACTAAGTTTGTGCTTACACTAAGCTTGTGCTTACAGTTTTATTGAATGTTTTAGGTACTTCTATTGATAAGGGTAAGGGCCCGGCTTGATGGCATGGCAGGCATTCTCTAGTGTTTTCACATTTAGCTTTTGTACTCTGAATTCTAAAATAATATTGATATGTAATGGGATTTTTCGTACTTCCTATGGATGATGTTTATGAAACTAAAAGTTTTAAAATTTTCTAAAAATTGGGTCGTTACGTTAGATATGTAGCTCTCACCATATAAGATGAACAAATTTCATCTTGACTACATACGCCTCTTTTATAGTTCATATTATACCTTATAATGGTCTTTATAGCTGTCTGGTTAAAGAATATAATTTTACCATATCAAAGTATAACATTCCTACAATCAAGTCCTAAATATGTGTCTCAGGTCTAAGGATACAAAGATATTATATTTATCAATTATCATTAATGATAGCGATCCATGAAGTGATTTTGAAAATGGGTAATACTTTTTCTATGGCAAGTACCTAGGAATGTTACAAAGTTTTACCTACCTTTATCTTATGAAAGTCAACAAATCCAATTCATATTGGTTTTACTTAATAGTTGTTCTCATAATTCTAACCGACTATAGTCTTTTAGAATAATTGTATTATTTATGGATTAAAAATATTAAAACACAAGTATTACTAAAAAGATCATATCTCAATATATCAAAACAATACAATAATTGTTATTCCAATGTTCCAATATCCAAATATTAAATTCAAATCAAATCTCATTACTAGAATAACTAAGTCTTGTAGTTCAAGCCCGACATTTCATGCTAAGCTTATGAAAGGGCTTTGTGAATAGGTTCAACTTAATTTTGATTTGTTTGAATTCTATAAATATAGCCATCTATTTATTTAACTTTATTCCAAATATAGTTAAATCCATACAGAATGTGATTAGTGTTTTGATGTGACTTAGAAGCGACATTGAAAATGAACAAAATTTGTCTATACCATATAAAATAGACAAGTTGCATAAATAATGTTAAACTCATTCGAGTCAAAATACCATGTGGTGTAGTCATCATCCATAAGCACTATTTATTGTGAAAGAGATGCATATTGTACACTATAGTTTAATGCCAACAAACACTAGGGCCCAATGCACTAACAACTTTAACAACCTTCTGACTAGAATAACACATAACTCCAATATAAATAACCCTTCATAGACCTAAAACCAATGATAATATGCACAAACAGGACTATTGAAAATGGCTTGACCAACTCTTTGACTATTTGTCGAATATTTCTTTGTAATGATGATTATGAGCAGGTAATTGAACTTAAAAGCTTTTTTCCGACAATAGGAAGGAAGAATCATCATAAAGAAAAGCTAAAAACTAGTTGTCATTGACATGATGTACAACATCAGAACAATCATATAATATATACAACTATACAAGAGTAAATTACAATCTTAGTCCCTGTGGTATATCACTTCTTTTTGGACTTTGTACAAAAACTTCACTTTTTTTTTTTTTTTTTCTTTTTTTGTTTTTTTCATCCCCATTTCATCGTTTCTTAGCCCTTTTTTCCCTGACTCACATGCCGTTTTAGAGATTGGATTTAACTCAATGTAAATTGTAAAATGACCATTTTGTCATTATAAAACAGATTGCAGAAACTTAAACTGCTATGAGATTGCATCATTGACACAAATTCTTCACTTCAACATAGAATAGAATCCTGAAACATAAACCGAATTGACTGTTCTTGTTTTCTCAACAGATTCTCTATCTATGCAGTGGCATGAATCAAAAAAGTCACATTTTTTGGGTTAATTGCAAAAAATAGAAACATGCTTTCATTTATTTGTTTGTTATAGCAATATCATCCAAATACAAAGCAAGTGTCACTGATACAATTAAGTAGATTTTTAAAAGCAAAATACCCTAATAATAACAAATTTTGAAAGTACAATGCTATAATCAGATAGATTTTTCAAAGTACATTGTCTTAATTAGAAAAAAGTCAGAATAACGATGCTATAATTGAAACTAAACGAAAGTAAGATGCAATGTTTAAAAAAAAGGTACAATAGCTATGTCTTGCATTAAGCTTTTTTTTTTCCATTAGATACTTAGATCATTGCAAAAGACACGTTTTGATAGAATTTGAATTAGATGATTTAAAAAAACTGCTATGATATTTTCACAACTTTGGAGTAACATACAATTCGTTATCTTCTTTAGTATCACAACGAGCAAAGAACTTCTGTACAGAAATCTCTACACGAAACTAAACACTCAAAAAACAAACCTAAAAAGTAACAATAAAATGTAAACTTAAATACATTACCAGGAAACTCCTCTTGTAAACCGCAAGATCAAAACTCTAACATCCAACAAGATTCACAAAATGTTCTTATTTTGTATGCTTTGATCCACTTAAATAAACTTGAGATTGAACAACTGTTCTTCCAATTTTGAATCCAGGTACAACTGTAAACCCCACTTTTGATAAACCCTTGTCATGATGAAATTTATCTTTTTTTGTTACATCTTCCATGTAAACCATTGAAAAGTCAACACCTTTTTCCACTTGAAAGATCTCAACTGGTGGAGTAAATGATCGTGCCAGTTTATGAAGTAACCACATTGAGCTAGACATATTAACAAATGCTTCATAGAATATGCTTAAAGACTTCCATGAATCCAAAACCTCCTTCTTTATGTCCAAATTCTTGAATATTGAAGACTCCATTGTTGGATGCACAAGTTCTTCGTACTTTCTTTCACAATATTTTGAGAAAGGGAAACTAGGGTTCTTGTTTAGTGTTTCCAATGGGTTAACTGATACGTGATCAAATAGTTCCATTGAGTTATCGGAGGATTCACTTCCGATCACACCAAAATTTTCGGAATCAAAACCTTGAAACATACCCAAAGAGACATATGATAGAAAGGCGTAACGATTATGCCCCTTTCTTGCGTACGTAACGTCAGGATGAACGTAATTAGCTGCTAAATCTAAATCCCACCCTGCTTTTTTCATCAACTGGATCAAAAGTTTTGTGAACTGATGTGAAGATCGACAGGCGTCACGTAACATTGAATCGAAAACCCTAATTGTTGGCAAAAAACCATTTGGGGGTTTTAAGTTTTTCGACAATTTGACTGATAGTTTGGAATTACACTCCTCGATGTCCGCCAATTGCTTCTTTAACATCGAAACCTTGTCGTCTTTCCCGTCGATATCTGACTGCAATCTATTAAACATGGTTTCTAAAGCTCTTAATTTGTTCTGATTCTCATTAACCTGAGCTTCCAAACAAGACCCGGTTGTGAAATCAAGATTAAAATCCGGATTCTTTCGAGAATCTATATACAATCCCCTCAAATCGTATAATTTCTGAAGTTGATTCACTAAAGCTTTATCATTAATCATAATCCCTTCTTCATCAAACGGCACATGGGCTGTTTGTAATTGAAGATACGAAGCTTCGAAAGATGAAATCACAGCGAAAACAGATGAAATTAGATAGTTACCGAAGTGGGTATTGAAGGGTTGTATGATAGAAGCAGAAACACTTTGATTTTGACTTTTCAAATTCAAATCAGGTTTGATGATGATGACTTTCTGATCGGTGATGAAGTCTTCGGCGGAGTCAAGAAGAGTGAACCCATCTTCAGTATCGGAGACAGCAGCTGATACAGCGGCGGAGTTGGCGGCGGATTCTTCTTCTTCGGTGAAGAATTCGAAGGTTTTCGCTTTGAATGCAATTGCAAACTTCTGAAACATTTCTGAGATTTGTGGGGGTTTTGAAGTAGCTGCTGTTCCCAATTCCATTTCGATCTTTGATCTTCTTCACGTAATTATATCATGATCTCAAGAAGACTCATGTGAATGATCTAGAGGTGTGTATGTATGAATCTTTTAACTTTGAGGTGGTGGTGTGGTAGAGAGAGAGAAAGGGTTAACAGTGGTGCCTTGGATGTCTTAGAAGGAAGGTATGAGTATAGAGAGAGAGATAGACAGAGTATTCTTTTCATTAAATTTTTTATTAAATTCTTTATGCAAAATGTAAACACCCTCATTTTCTTAAAACATTTTTTTTTTATGAATTTGATTATTAATAATTCTTATTTAACTGCCAAAGTCAACATTTATGTTTTTCAAGAAGCATCTAGAACTTTGTCTTTGCATATTGATTTTTATAATTAGAAATGAAATTTTGATCATGACTTTATTATCTCTTTCTTGAAGGACGAAATCTTATTAGAGCTATCAAGTTGTTAGCACAATAGCACTGCAAGTTGTTAGAGTGCGGAAGTAAAGGAAAACATACAAAGAAAATTTAAACAACAACAAATAGAAAAATACTAGGAGATGTCTTTTGATAATTGTTTGGGAAAGTATTTTCTGACTAGTAAATGAATCATGTTGTTTGAGTGTACATATAATTTACTGTGCTAAATGATGAAAAATGATCATATTACCTTTCTGTTTTATACTGTGATGGATGAAATTACTGAATAATTATAAAAACATACAAATCATCATATAAAATCAAAATTACACAATAATCATTTAAAAATCTAAATACAAATTGTCATACAAAATAATTAAACATAAATCAATTAAAATCCAAATATAAGCATACTGAAATTGAAAATAACATACTAATTTGCATACAACACTAAAATAAAGCAGGTAAAAGTAGTTGATTAGCAATTTATTCACACAAAGTAGTCATGTATTCAACGACTTTTTAACCACATTCTATGTCTTGTATGTTTTCACCCTCAATCCTAACTTTGGTACCAAATTATTCTAGATTTCTTTTGTTACATGTCTAGAATAAAAAAACATGTATATATAAAGTTCACTATGTATGTACAAAAACATAATATATACACAAAATTCAACATGTATGTTGATAAATTCAGCATATATACACAAAAAAAAAAAAAAAAAAAAAAAAAAAAAAAAAAAAAAAAAAAAAAAAAACAACATATATACACAAAAAAACAGCATGTATGTTCAAAAATAGCATATATGCTCATCATGTTTGAACAAAAATCAACATGTTTCAAAAGTTTGAAATACCAGTCTATAATTTACCCACAAAAATCAGTATGTTTGCCCACAAAAAAACAATATATATACCGTTAAAAAAAGTTCAAAAATTCTGAAATGTTACTCTCAAATTAATCACAAATTCTGAGATACTACTCTCAGATTTCGAAAATCAGAAGTAACAAATTATGAATCAACATGTTTATATATATATATATATATATATATATATATATATATATATATATATATATATATATATATATATATATATATATATATATATCCATGAAGTAACAAACTATTAAACGAGATTCATAGGTTCGAGATTCATAGGTTGGAAAGAAATCAAAAGAAAAAAAAAATGAGACCATAGAAATCAATTCAAAAGAACAGAATAATAATAATAATAATAATAATAATAATAATAATAATAATGATAATAATAATAATAACACAAACATGGTCGGAGATGTGGGGTAGAGACAATGCCGAAGTAGATTAATCTTCAGTGAAGGTACGAGCCGATAATGATTTTCAGTTAAGAAAAAAAATAAATAAAACAATATTGGAGGCGCACATGCAGACGAGGGCAAGTCGCTTTTTTTGTTAGGGCATAATTGTCCCACGCATGTTTCTTTTTCATTCAGACATGGGCTTGTGGCTTCGTGGGAAAGACTCATCTTACCGGAAAAGATGAATTTTTTTATGCAACTGAAACATCTTTCCAGCCCATTCAGCCATAAAGATCTTTATAAGATTGGAAAGATTTTATCAAACAAGACCTAATTACAACAATTCAACGAAAATCATTTTCTTTTATTTTTAATTAAAAAAAATCATCTTAATGTCTTTAATCACACAAGGAGAGGAAGAAAGCTTGATAAAGATCATATTGTTTCCAAGTGCGAACGCAAGATTTCATAGTAGGTGTTGTCGATGGTATATTTTTTTTATATAGTGACATAATAGTAGAAAAATAAAAAACTTTACACTAAGACCGAAAAACACAAGGATTATCGGTACCATTATGAGCACTATGGTTGAACCACTCGTGATCATTTTTAGCTTTATAATTAACCAAATGAGAAGACAGAAACACAACATGAACTAATTACCTCTCAATCAAAATCCGTATGTAATCATGAGGCATGGAAATAAACTCCTCCAGATTAGTTATATTTGTTAAGTCTATAGAAGTTCGTCCTTTTAAATGTCATTTTATTGAATTTTATATTTTTTAGATAGTTTTATTAAACGTTATTTTTTATCAGCTAACTGTTTATTTAACAACTAGTTTTTAAGCTATCAGTTAGCTTTTCAACTAACATATAGCTTTTCAACTAGTACGCCAAACATAACATTCGTGGCTTCATTTACGCGACAATCTCGCGATCACAAAAGAACCTAAAATAATTTAAAAGGATCATGATGTTCAAAATGAGATAATATTTTCGAGCATAATATTTTCGAAGATGTTCATCATTTTCAAATCATGTCAATATTTTTGAAGATACAGTTTACAAGATTTTTAGTACAAAAACAAATAAGAAATTACTTTTGTTTGTACAAAACGATTTTGAAAAAAATAATTTTTTAAAGATTTTCAAAAATACGTTGTATTATGACTGTCAAAATAAAATCTCAAAGCCACAAAAATATTATGAAAGGACATCACCTTAAATAAATGGACCATTTAAAAAAATGATTTTCGAAACTATTATGCTTTTTAGTACTTTCGAAAAATATAGTACATTTTTGTAAATTCTTTTTGAAGATCATAGTCATATTGTTATATATGTTCAATAAAATGGTTATCAGACCCAACCATTATATTCAAATTACTTATGCGATAATCGAGGCTTCGTAAAAACATTTCTTGTAAAATATCATGACGTAATTTATTAAGGTTAAATTTAAAACTTAAAGTTTATAATAAATACAGGACCAGTGGACCACGATAATAATATTAATAAGATTACAAACTATATTTTATATTATTAAAACCACATATTTTTAAATATGTTATAAGTGGACTTGTTAATAAGAATAGAAAATAATGATTACCAAACAAATAAAATATTTAACAATAATCGATAGTAATTAAGCATCGTATACACATATTTACTCATTAGTAATAAATTCAAATTGCTATAAATAACTTTTCAAAAGAAATTAACATCCAATATATTTTCTAAAAATCATTCTTCTAGTATTTTAATACGGAGATGATTTGCACACAACTTTCTAAAAATCAAATTGCTATAAATAACTTTTCAAAAGAAATTAACATCCAATATATTTTCTAAAAATCATTCTTCTAGTATTTTAATACGGAGATGATTTGCACACAACTACCTTTTTCCATACATAATAATTTATGTTTTATAGAGTTGTATAATGCAGCATTTTAAAACACAAATTGTTGTGTTCGAAGAAAAATTGTTATATACGAATCGGTTCTCATTTTAATAACAAAGTCATCTATTATTATTTTTGTTAGTGTAGGACTTCATTTTTATTCTTTGTATATTCCGGTAATAAAAAGGTTAGTAGTAAACGTAGTGGCTGAGGCTTGAGTTGGATTTGATCCCCTTAAACATATTCGCCGTCTGTTCCCAGGGTACAATAGCCTTAACAGCGTGTACTGCCAGATATATATCCATTTTCCTGAAAGAATCAATGGAAGCATGTGTATAGAGAATGAGGAGGAAGAAGAGTATTTTCATTCGTGTGTTGAATGAGATGGTGGAAGTCTCTTTTTATAATTGAACATGTAACGGAAACAAATAAATTCTTGACACAAAATTGATTGAGGCATTAAATACCAATAGATGTGTAATTTATGCATTTGTTACAAAATTCAAACTAGGGACCAAAATTGTCAAGTTTAGCAAAAACGAAGGTTACGCGAGCCCGAGTTTTCGACGCTGCATTTGTGCCCATGCGCAAGTTCGGGTGATTTTGGACTACGAAATCCAAGATTTTCACGCGGGTAGGTCTTGATGTAAACCATAGACACAAGCTTGTAAGCCTTTCATGCATTCAACCTTATAAACCTAGTTGAGTTTGGTCTTTCTACCAATATGAGACCCATTCCCACATTCCTCTATTTGCTAACTTTATTTCTCAAATACCCGTCTTTGAGTATCGATATCTTATTCACATATACTCCATTTTGGACATATAATATATTGTCTCAAAGTTCTTACGGAGGAGAACACAAAACCACTTAGAGTTAATTATGTACATAACATATGTATATATTTATATATGTCCAAAGTTAGTAAAAATATAAATATTTATAATAAAATTTCCAACAATCCCCACATGAATGGAGATCGATCTCTGCACATCAAATTTCCAAACGAAATTTTCAACAGTTGAATCCTGCATAGGATGTATATGTATCACCCTTTGAACCCTCCCTTAAGAATTACACTTAATCTCCTAGTAGTCAGTAGATCTCAATGTCTTTGAACTAAGCGGTCATTTGTGTAGATGGCAATGTAATTCTCACAGGACTCTCCCTAACAAAGTCATATCTTCGTAGACATGTTCGTTTTGGTCATGAACACTAACTTGGTTCTGCAAGAGCTTTAGGATTTGTGCCCCCATAATTCCCTTCGAAGCAACCCCACTTCTCTCTCAAATAGATGATTCCAATAATCATTAAAAACCATATGTTTAGCCTAATTTTGTCACTACATATAGGTGAATCCTTCAAAAAAACCGGCAACAAAAGACTTTAAAAATAACAAGTTTATTTT